GGAAGCGTACCCTAAAAAGGCAGATCACCATAGTAGAGAACGGAAGAGGGGTAGGGGGAGCATTTAGGAGTACTGAGAAAAACCTTGACACAAAAAGAGGACTTGATACTTTTTAAACCAAAAGGGGGGGAAATGGTCCTCTAATGTGAATAGAAAAGTGTGCTTTCCCATGCAAACTGAAACGCGTCAGACTTATGAATCTTAAGTAACAGTGAGGAGGGAGTTTATTGCAAAACACACCACGGCATACTCCTGGGCATCTGATAAAAGCTTCTGGTGAGCTAATAGCTTAATGGGCGGCACAAGGCCTCCAGTGAGCCCCCTGGCTGACTTTCTCCTCCGAGTTTTACCTGAGATGCTCTCCTTCACTAGATGGCAGTAAAGCAAACATATTGCTGGCAAAGTATACCTAGCCCTGCATCTCAGGTTATAATGTGACCTTTCTGAAGTCATGATGTCATCTGTTTTCAACACCTGTAACTCTCAGTATGACTGTGGAGAAAGAGGACTGTCTAGGTCTCACAACACAACATAGGACGGGGACGCTGTCACAGCCTCGTCCCTTTGGTCTTTTCCCTCAATGATAAACGTGTCATTTGAGAGACATTCTACAATTCTCGAGCTCTCACCATAAAAAAAGAAAAAGGAAACAACCACCACGCTTCCTAACCACTTATTATCAACCAACTTTCTAGGTAACATCTCCTTCTAAGCCCAAGGACGGCACACACTAAACCTCAGCGCATTTCAGGAACGCTACCAGATCACAGAGGAAATGCAGACAGAGGGTCAGCTCTGACAGAAAGAGAAAGGCGGCTTACGTACACAGCCCAGTAGCTTCTCAGCACAAGCTACTCTCAGGTTAAAGAAATGGGAAATCTCAGCAGGCAAAAACAAGTCTAAGCACAAGCTGTGTTTGAATCACGCACTTTGTCACAGTCGCAGGGACTTCCAACAGCACAGAAAAAACTGTTTCTGGTATCTTCTGAGATGCTGCACACGCTGCTGGGTGGCCACACGACACCACAGAGAGGTGTGAGGGGGGACCCGAGCAGAGGTCTGTGAGTCAAAGGTGCAGCAAGGCGGCTCGGGGAGCACAGCGTGTGAGGGGCTCTTCCTTCTGTGCATGCCTGCCCCGAAGTCTCCTGGGTGCTGGGACGGGTGTTCTTTAGGCTCTGCGGTTACACACACTCTTCACACACAGGCCCCACCATTTTAAGAGGAGCACAGTCAACAAGATTCGGCTCATGTTATTTATGGTGCTGACTGAGAACGGGAAGGTACCCTCAGGAGAGTGGGTTTGAGTGACGGTTTAGAGACTTCAAGGCAAAAAGTTAAATGGGAAAGAACTTGAGGATTATTGAAGGCATTTTAAGATAATTTTTTTTCCTTTGGCCACACCATGCAGCATGTGGGATCCTAGCTCCCTGACCAGGGATCAAACCCAGCTTCCCTGCTGTAGAAGTGCAGAACCTTAACCATTAGACACCAGGGAAGTCCCTAAAATAATTCCTTAATCTGAAAAAGATAAAAATCCAGCCATCTAAATCCAGTAACATGCATTTGAAAACAGAAACATAAATGGCACACACCAAAACCTACAATGAGAGCTATGCTAGCAAGCTGGATATTAGGCAGCTTTCTCTTCTCCACCTTCCAATAGTTTTACAAAGACAACGTGGTCTAACTACTGTTTTCATTTTTAACAGAAGAGAAAGGCCCATACCTGCCATAAAGGAAAACAAAATGACACTATAATGACAGGCCGGCCATCCAAGCAAGAAGCCAGGGCTGGAGATGACAGTGAGGGGCCGGGCTCTCACATGTCCCTGCAGAAGCACAGTGGGGCGGGCGGGGTACGCGTGTCAACCCCACTCCCCAGACCTCGGGAGCCTCCACGACCTCATGCAGGAGGAGCATTTCAGAACAGAATCTCTCAAGTTCCTTCCAGGTTTCAAACTGTGTGATTCTAAGTTGAAAAGAACTAGGAAATCAGAACAGACAAAAGAAATCAGGAATTCCTCCAGTTTCTCATGTAACATGTAGCATACAGATCGGTGGAAGGGAATCTATTAAGTGTTAACATTCTTCTTCAGATTAAAAAAATGTATTAGTACTACAGGGAGCTTAATGAAATATTATATAACACTTCTACTTTTAAAAGATGCTTACAAATTAACTGGGAATTTACATGACTATAAAGTTTAAAAATAAAATAACAACATAAGACAAAAATGCTTCGGTGAAGCCTCAAAGCCATGTGGTTGCTGCCCCATGAGCTGTAGGCAATCGCTTCCCTGGGAGGCATGAGAAGGGGAGATGCTGGCCTGGAGGCAGGGAGAGCCAATAGGCCTGTGTGCCATGGAAGCTGCGGGCGGCAGCAAGGCTTGAGCTGGGCCAGAAAAAATGGAAACAGGGTTTCTTCTGGAGGCGACGAAAATGTTCAAGAATTAGATAATGGTGGACAGTTATACAGCCTTGTGAATGTAGGAAAAATCACTGACTTACACAATTAAAAGGGTGAATTTTATGGTATGTAAATTGCATCTCAAGTTTAAAAAGACATGGGCAGAGGTAACTAGGACAGTATGGGGGGAGAAAAACCAAAGGTACCCTGGGAAGAGTAATGAGGAAAAAGGAAGGTTGGAAACAAATTTCAAAGGGCTCCAAGCATCAGGAAAAGGTAATTGAGAATTATCATCCACAAGATAGGAAGGGAAACAAACACTCATCGACAAGAGGGAAAGATCAAAAGCTTTGAGAATAATGTCTGTTTCCTCTGGTGGAAAACAAGCCTCAGGTGAGAGACATCCACGTCCTGTTCACTTGACAGGAACTCGAGTGTCTCAGAGTTGATGAGCAAATAAGCATTTGATGGGTACCCTGGTTCTGCATGAAAAGAAGACTAAGGCAGAACCAAGACTGGGTTAACTCTACCTTTATGTGTAACACGCATCAGTCTAAGTCTAAGCAACCCAACTCCAAACCAGGAACACCTATACAGAGGACTGAAAAACTGAGAAGAAGCTGGGAAAAGATTCTGCAACAGAATCTTCAATTATAGAATTAACAGGTTTAAATGCAAACATGGAACATAGGTTACCTGCAGATATATAAAACTAAGCCTCTGAACAGATTCCACTTGCATAAAAAATAGAGGAGAAGGAAAGGAAGAAGAAAAATAGGAAAAATGCAAGAGAAGTAAATGAGAAAGAAATGGTGGGGTGGCCACTGTCTCTTTAAGAAGCTCCTTGGAGATACATAACTGCAGAAAGCCTGGTGAATACAACATTGATTGAGAATGAGGTAACCGCAAACACCACTGTTCTCAAATGAAAAGGGATTCAAGATCTGACCCAGAAAACAAGCATCGTAACCACCAGATAAAATTTTAATGATAAACACAAGATGCTGTATATACAAGCAAGACTGAAGTATCTGAAGCTAGGCCATCAACATAAGGTTCTCTTAGAAAGAGGGGCTGTGAGGAGCCTCTCTGACCCACGGATCAAGTTTCATCTTATCGATCCACGAAACTCTGCCATCGCTGTGCTTTGTGCTGGCATAATCCGTGATGCTGAGCAGGCCTCGGGGGAACGGAGAGGCAGGAAAAGAAGGACTGGGATCTGGACTCATGGCCAGGCTGCCTCTTGTAAGGTCCACGTCCAGATAAGAAATTCATAATTGGCTTTTGAGAGTCATCTTCCTTATTTCAATTCCTTTTATGACTTTCAGTTCAATCTCAACAGTCTGTTCTCCAAGTCCTCTGACCAGAAGACCCCTGTAACTAGAACGATCCCAGTCCCTCTGGGGGTTTACTAAGGAGTCTCAGCATTAGCAGGTGAAGAGGACCGTACCTGGCATGAGCTCTCAGGCCCACACCTGACTGATGGGGGCAGAAGCCTAGCACCACACTGATAACTGGATGGACAGAATTCTAGATTTCTAGTCCATCAATTTTTCTAAAAGTAACAGTTTTATGGCACTCCCAAGAAGGGCATTAACCTCAAAATCACGGTCAGGAAAACACAAGATAAAGGAAAGTGTTGCTCCTAAGGCATAAGTTGTTTAAAGCAAAATACTTTTACAAAGGTACTATGAAAGCACAAAATATTAAAATAATCTGACTCTTTGAAATTTCAATTCAAACAATACTCTTCAAGCAATGCTTCTGGAGTTTTCTTTAAAAGGAAAAGGCTCTCCTATGACTATGTTGTTAAGTCCAAGGTTTCCTTCTGTTTGTCCAACCAGGAGAAACCTCTTTTGGGCGGCTCACTTCAGAGTCAATCCAGACCCAGAAGTTTAAGTGTCCTGGTCTCTACAGCATTAGGTACACAATGTGAGACTCTAGTTCAAGACATATTGTTAATTCAAAAAGAAAATTACCACCTTAGTATATGTTAAAGAAACACATAAAACCATCTCTCTAATAAAACATGAAGAATTCATGAAAGTGGTCTTTGGAATAGAAGCCAAATTCACAGAAGCTAAAATTAAATTTCTCAGCAATGGAGACAGATACGTAATAAAACGCCTATTTCAGGACAAGTTAACTGCAAATACGAACTGTGTGGTAGGGAAGGAAGATTACCTGTGTGGCCACAGCCCTTCCTCATAATGAAAGCTTCAGAATGAGAAATCAAGAATAGGACCTGATTCTGCCAACATTTATTATTCTTGCTTGAGTTTTTTATGTCTTCATAAAGAACAAACTGTTGGCCTTAATGAAAATCTAACATAATAACATGCCACAAGAGTCGTTTAAAAGCTCAAAAGATATGAGACAAATGGATTACAGAGCCACCCCACCCCACTCGCTTCAGAACCCTTGACTACTGGAGGATGCAGTCAGGGGCTCCGTCTTGTCTCCACGCGGGCTGTGAGTGGGAAGGCACGCCCTCCCAGAGGTAGAATGCGGTGGCTGAGACGCAGAGGGTGGTCTGTGAGAAGTGAAAGACCTCAGGATGAAGAGTATTAAATGGAAAACTGTTTTCGCTTACCCAGCAATGACAACGCCATCGTGAGAGTGCACATCACATAAAACTGCGTCGGGAATGTGTTCCAGCTCACTCACCGCGCCTTTGCGATTCTGCGTGAGAAAAGGGGTGCGGTTTATACTGCTCTCGGGATGGCAGGGAGACAAAGCATTGCGCTCTCACCTATATTCCAGAGTGGGTTATCTACAGCAGGGCCTGTGTCCACAGTTAGAGACGCAAAAGGACACAGACGACAACCAGTATGTTAAGCTCCTAGCACTTACGAGCCCGCACACACTGAATGCAGCCGGACTGTGAGACACTGACCCCCCCTCCCGCCAGGGGATTACAGGAGCAAACGACTTCACTCTGCAGAGGCTGACGGTGAAGAAGTGCATAAAGTGTATGTAAAAAGTTTAGTTTGGTGGAGAGGACATAGTTAATGCTATTTTACCTGGTAACAGCTCTTGTAAGCGCCCTCAGAATAAAATTAAAACATATATACAACAAAATAAAAATCAGGGTGTGGGGGGGGGGAGAGAAGAGATTATTTCTGATTGAGGTCAGAGGTTCATGGAAATGGTATATAAAGGAAACCCTAAAACCCATAACACAGTAGCTCCTGATGTAGGTGAAGAGAGGCAAGAGGAAGATATATTTTCCAGTATATGACCTTTGATGACTTTTGATTTATTGTATCATGATTATTTATTGATTCAAAATATACACAAATAATTATTTTTAAAATAAAGGGAATCTGGAGGTATAGAAAGTATTTACATGTGGGATATTGGGAAGGGTGGGACAGTTAAGCCAAAAAACAAGCATGCATAAAGGTATTCAAGAATATCAAGCCATCAAAAAATATAAATACATAACTGAATCACTTTGTTATACACCTGAAACACAATATTGTAAGTCAACAATACTAAAAAAAAAAAAAGAATACCAAGCCATCCATAACTTCACCTTTGCTGTACCAGCATAAGGATCAGAAATAGTATAAGTGCCAAGACAGTTCTTTGCACACAAGTTTCCAATAGATGGTAGCTACTATTACTATCTATATTATTATTAGGAGACAGATGATGACATCCATTCCATTAAAACCGACATTTATTAAGCAGCTGAGCTCCAGACGCTGTGCGAGATGACCCGCTCGGCATCGCGCTGAACTCGAGGCCTGAGTCCAGGCTGAGGGACCCCACTGGACGCGTCCGGGAGGGGCTGTCCTGCTGGTGGGGGCACGAGAGGGGCTGCAGAGCCATCCACGCAGGTGCCCCGGCAAAAGTGACAAGAGCAGCAAACGAGAGACCAGGCAGGGAAAGTCAAGGAGAGGGTCTGTGCCCTCATGGCCTCCACGGAGTTCTGTCACGTGGCTTCCTCTTCATCCTGGGCTCCAGCCCCACACTGGTATTCTGGATTAAGAGACCCTAGCAGCCACTGTGAAACAAGTGTGTGCAAACATCAGGGAAAGGAACACCATTTCACCCTTGCTCTGAAGTCCGGGTCAGTTTGTGCAGGTCACCCTCTGTGTGAAGTACTGAGAACCCTGGGGTCCCTTCTGAGCTTCCCCAGACACTGACCTAGGAGATTTCAAACCAAATCACCTTCCCGACCCATCCAGAGGATGACCAGGGACAGCACCAAACCACAGCGTCCGTATGCCAAAGTCAAGGCTAACTGAGCCGCAGACACGGGCCACGTCCTGTGGGAGGAGTGTCAGGTACCATTAGACAGTCCTCTTTACTACAGCCTGGAGAGCGCAGCTACTCTCAGCTCCACATTAGAGATGGGAAAGCAGAGGCACCCGCAGAGAAGGCATCCTGCTCTCTGATACCTTTCATGTTTTCATAAGAATTCCTTTCATTCCAGAATCACTACTGTTAATGCAAGAGACATCACTTGACACTTGACCTCTGTAGTCAAGTACAGAGGTATACCTATACCTACTGTATAGGTAACAGTGCAGGATGTGGGCCCAAGATGCTTCAGAGAGAAGCCTCCCTCCAGTCTGACTCCAGTTAATTCAAGCAACAACCTCTTATTGAGCACTTACCAAACACATGGCTTTGTGCTTGTTAGAGAAAAACAATGAACAGATGTTCAAGTTTAAACTGCATGCAATCTGTACACAGGCATTAAGTTCCAGATGCTATGAGGCAGGTCGTTACACACCTTCACTTCTGCCCCCTCCAGCCTGGATGAGGAGGGCATACCTGCTTCCCTCCCTCATTGTCTCTGGTGTATGTAGGTGTGTGTGCTCAGCTGTGTCCGACTCTTTTGCAACCCCATGGACTGTAGCCCACCAGGCTCCTCTATCCATGGAATTCTCCAGACAAGAAGACTGGAGGGGGTTGTCATTTCCTTCTCCAGGGGATCTTTCCAACCCAGGAATTGAATCTGTGTCTCTTGCATCTCCTACACTGGCAGGTGGAGTCTGCCAGGTTACCAACTGCACCTGATAAGTGCCCATTGTCTCTGGAGCAAACAAAGAACTCAGCTGCTGTGTTCTCCCTTAGGATCTGACATTTATGAACTTGAGCCATGATATCTGGAGTATCTCCAGCTCTTGTGCTCACAACTCTCAAAAGCATCCCTCCTTCCTGGACAGAACACCCTCCTCTCAAGCGTTCCTTAAATTATGGCTACTCCTGCCAGGGTTAGACCCTTGGCTTTCCTATCTCCAGCCTGTCTCAGCAGGTTTGCTCTCACTTATGTCCTTCACACAGACCGAACCAAGCAAAAGGGGAAGAAGAGGCCTCCACCTGGTCTGGATGCACATGGCGGGGCAGCGGGACTTTTATTTAGTGGAGGTGTCTCTGTGGTCTAAGGACAGCTGTGCTACTTCTCTTTGGAAGGGTGGCTCTCAAACAGGGGTGATGCTGGGGGAAGGAAGGGAATGGCTTCTGGCCTGTACTGGGGAGAGGCTGGAGATGCCACAGAAGCAGAAGATCCTGCAACACCCAGGACAACCCTCACTAAAAAGGATCTCGCCCCAGATGGTGCCAGCGCCAGGGCTGAGAAGTGCCAAGTTAAAGGAACACTGCTCTTATTGACTTTGCTAGGAACTGTGACACTGCCCAGATCTAGAATACGATCACTAATCAGGTTGTGAGGTGACTGGTGGCAGACGTGCACATGGGCACCATCAGTAATGAGCAAAAGCTTGTTCATCTCAAAGTCTATCAGGACTGACTTTTACAGGAGGGGAACAGAGAATCCAGTTCTGTCCCTTCCCTCCACCTGAACACCCAGCCCCCAAGTGGGAAGAAACGGCCACCAGGCCAGCGTCTCCTCGTGCCTCGGACAGCTCCACGTTTAACACTGCTCCTGACATGATTTCTACAGAAACACTTCACTGGGCAAATGCGCAGCTGTGATCTAATATTTCTGTAGAGATTTTGAAGTGATAAATGTTATGGAAGCAAGCCAATAGGTTATGTGAGGGAAGGGAAGACAGTACTTAGAGACGCTTAGTAATCTCCCTCTTACATTGACTGGAAAGAGCACTTTCAGCCCCTCTTTTGTATTCAGGTGATGCTTTCTTGGTCCATCCAGGGAAGAGGGAACAGTGAAAGGGGGCTGCATGGAACACCACTCCAAACACCCCAACCATCAGAGGGAGGTTTCTGGCACCTCAAGCTCACCTCCTCTCCTGGAGGACAAAGGATGCTCCCAAATAGGTGGCTAGAAATGAGGACAGATACTCTAATGGTCAACAAGTCACTGTCAGCTGCAGGGACACACACTCACCACACCCTTCTCTCTGCTTTCAGCAGTGAACCTCAGGCTGAAACTGGAGGGACTCAGGGTTTAATCCCGGGCTTGGATTCCTGGGTCCCTGGAGGCAATTCCCCTGCAGGTAATGGTACTGGCCACTGCCTACCTTCCAGTTGGTTCTCAGCACGTGCTCCTTGGCTCGGCACTCCTGGAAGACGAGCTTCCAGCAGGAATAGTCGGAGATGCTGCTCTCGGGGAGGTGGCCTTCCTGCTGGCACAGCCTGTACCACAGCACCTCGTCCTCCGCAATCACCCTCCACGTCTTGCTCACCTACAACAGCCCAAGTGACACAAACGTCAAGCTCTGCAATCAGAGACATCCCCTATCATCCAAAAATCAATCAACACCTTTCTTTATCACTGCCCTGGGTTTGTGGCAGTATAAAACGTCTCATTAACAAAATCCTCCGAGGCGAAAAAAATACAAGCAAATGTTTCCAGTTTCATCTTTCAAGATTTCAAAATTACTGTACCACCAACCTAATGCCACATTTTAGACTATCTGGTTAAATTATTTTATACATGCACATGTAAATACAAGATATAAAGAGAAAAATACACAAGCATGTAAAAGACAAAAAATATACACCAACATGTTAACAGATACAAAATCACACACAGCTTTTCAGAACAGAATCTCTGCTTTTTACTAATAGGTACTTGTATTTCCATCTTATAGAGCTAGACACTGATGACCTCTGAAGTAAAAAGCTGTGATAAAATTAATATCCATAACCCAAACTTCTGGTCATGTGAGAAATTCATTTTGTGAGTGAAAACTCAGATTTTAAGTGTGTAAATAAAAAATATTCAACAGAAAAGGCAAGCTATTAACTAGGATGATAAGATTTGATAGAGAGAAATGAACACTATATCTGGACTGGATTTCAAATCCCAACAGTATCCAGAGGAAAGGGCCATTTTAGCCATTAAGAGCTTTGTCTTCCAAGCCTAACTTGCAGAAATGATGGATTTTCTTCATCATGAGATTTACTGTACCAAGTTGGGCAGATTGTAAAGGATGGACTCTGCTGGTGAAATGAGACACTGACACAGCAGATCCACATGATCTGAGGTCTGCAAAACATTCTGCTTGCTGCCCACCCAAAGGCTGAGCCTCACTTCTAATAAAGTCATGACCAGTGGTTCTCAGTAACCTGCGCTCCGTAACACTCCCTTGGGGCTACTCCAAGACGTCAAACACTCAGATAAGAAGAAAGAAGATGAGACACAGTGAGACAGAACACACAGCATGTGCCCGGCAGACTCTTCTTTACACAAGGGTGCCTCACTTGATGAAGTGCTGCTAGGGAGTTAACTTTCTAACTACAGAGTGAAGATCGCTGAAAATCTGCTCCTCCAAGGAAGCAACAAGAATACTGCCAAAAATTGTCAAAAATCAACTTTTTCAGAGCTCCAGAAATTAACTAAAAGCTTATAATATTCCGAGGAGCATTTATTCAAGGAAAACGGCTGAATCTTAATAAGAATAGCAACCTTTGTGTTGTTTTCACTTGCATTAATCCCATCCTCGTCCTCCAGCTCCATGGTAGCCTTGAAAACCAACAGCCTCCAACTACAGTAGCTATAAAAACCAGAGGTCTAGCAACTCCCAGAGAGGCCAAATGGGTTTACAGCTCTCCAAAAGTACCATCCCCAGAAAACTGTCACTCTTTGGCCTGTCTGGCAGCTTGCTAGAAAGCTCTGTTCTGAAGGCTTGTCTTCTTCATCTGATCTGACTGAGATCTAACTCTGTTCTATATCCAGGGCATTTGTCAGAAAAAATAAGGGACTACTGTTTAACAGTGCAGCTGCTCGACATGGCACTACCAACTAGGGCTAAAAGGAGGCTGATCGAAAGACTTAAAAGGAAAACCTGGGGAGTGGAACACCCCATTATAAATATGTTCAAAATACTAAAGGAAAGCATGTCTAAATAAACATATATGCACAATGTCTCAGAAAGTACAGAATATTGATAAAGAGATAGAAATTATTTTTTTAAAGAGCCAAATAGAAGTTTTATAGTTGAAAAGTATAATAACTGAAACAAAAAAAAAAAGATCACTAAAGGGGCTTAACAATAGATTTGAGCTAGAAGAAGAATCAGAAAATTTAAGGTCAATTAAGATTTTCCATACTGAGAAAGAACAAAAAATTAACAAAATTAAGAGAGCCTCAGAGAACTATGAGACACCATCTGAGTGGACCAATATAGGCATTATAGGAGTCCCAGATAGGGAAGGAAAAAGGAGTAGAAAGGATACTTGAAGAAATTAAGGCCAAAAATTCCCCCAAATTTGAGGGATAGCATTCATCTGCATAGCCAAGAAGCTCAGCAAACACCATGAAGAATAAACTCAAAGAGACTCACACCTAGACACAGTTAAACTGTTGAAAGCTGGAGACAGAATCTTGAAAGGATCTACAAAAAAAAAGATTCATTCACAAAGTACTCTATACTTCTCCTCAGAAATCATGGAACTCAGAAAGCAGTGGCATACAGCATATTCAAACTGCTGAAGAGAGACTGCCAATCAACAAATCTATATCCAGCAAAACGATCCTTCAAAAATAAAAGGAGAAATTAAGATATTCCCAAATAAACAGAAAATAAGAGAATTCATCTGGAGTAGATTTGCCCTACAAGAAATACTAAATACCATATTTTGACTGCCTAAACGCAGGCCTTTAGGCTGAAATTGAAAGGAAATATACTTTATTTTCCAAGTAAACATCACTATAAAGGTAAATATAAAAGACAGTATAAATATACTTTTACTTGCATCCCTTTTCTTCCGTCTGATTAGAAAGACACAGCCTAAAACTGCTGATGGGCTTATAAAGATAGAATTTGTACACAATAATAGCACAAAGAAAGGAGAGGGGACACAGTTATTCTGGAGCACTTTGGTTGTACTATCGGAATTAAGTTGGTATTAGTCAAAACTAGATTGTTTTACGAGGCTCACTGTAACCCCTAGGGCAACCATTAAGAAAATAACTCCAAAATATGGCTTGTACAACAAACAAGAGAATTAGAATGGTATGCTAGAAAAACATCTAACACAAAAGAAGATGACAGTATCTGAAGAGAGGAACAAAAAAGACATACTAACAGTTAAGTGACTGAGGGCAGCCATCACGTTTCCCCTTAGTCATTTCTTCACTGGTCTAAAACTACTACACATTTCCTTCAACTAACTGTCACAGAACTAGCTCCCATATTCATTACCTCTGAAGCGTACCCTCATGTTTATGTGTCTGCATTGTCCCTCTTCAAATGTGGTACTTGCGACTAAACAATACCTCAGATACACAACTTTCAAGTGCCATGAACAGAGGATTTTATCAGATGCTAATTCACTACTTCACTTAAAGATACAATGCAGAACCCATAGTTCAGAGCTTCTGGAGTCCATTTATTTTAATAAATATTTAAGGCAGACAAAGCTATATATTAAAAACACCCATGGACACACCACCCTGCTTAACAAATATTACCAATAAGCTTAAAACTCCTATGTATCTCTCCGAGTCCACATCCTTTTCTCCCCAACAGTAACCTCAATTTGGTATTTATCAATCTTCAGTCTTCTTAAACACCAACTGTAAATAAAGAAAAAAAAAAAAGCCCCCATTTCTTACTCTCACACTATCATGTTTTAAATTCTTAGCTTTCTAAACTTTTTATTCATTTTAAATCTCAGCTCATCACACATACCCACTCCCAGCATTTTATTTCATCTTTGCATTTTAATTCTTTCATCCATTATATGTATGATACTTTTCCTTTACATAAGTCACCTGCAAAATGTAGTCTATGGGCCTTCATGTCTTAATTATTTTAAAAAAACTAACCAGGATGGGGCTGCGGACAGAGCCCGTGACAAAGCACTAGGGCCCTCCTCCCAGGCTGACAGGGATCCATTAAGCAGCCCACCCTGGGCATGGCCACAGCATCTGCTACAAATCCACGTAACCACAGTCATCCCACACCTCTCCATCTCAGCCATAAGGGCATCGGGGAAACAAACCTTCATCTGATCACAAGTGGTCAGGCAATAAAGAATAGAATAATGACTCAATAACACTAGAGTCCCAGTTCTGACTAGCGAGAACACCATGGTTTTATTTTTGGCATGTCTGGTCCACAGCTGAGCCTGTCCATGACACTGGGTGGTGTCTGTCCATCTGTCTGTGCCAAAGGGAGTCTCAGCAATAGTCAATCAAGCAGAACAGACAGGGACAGACCAACATCCACTGTAATGAAGGTAGGCAACAACTCTAATAGCTCCAGAGCACAGTATTTTCTCCCACAGGCTCCTGGAATTCAGGGTTAAATAAAGTATAAGATAAGGGTGAACACAGAGACACCCTCATGGTTTCTCAAAGGCACAGAGAGCTAACTAAACTGAACACAGAGCAGTTTACTCTGATATGTGGGATACATCAGCCCTTTTTCTTGTAAAAATTATAAAATGTAAAACCTTGTAGAAATTATGAAATGTAACTACCAGATGAGAGACTCATAGTAACTAAGTCATTATTTCACTACATGCTACACAGCACTTGCCAAAGCATATTCAGTAGACTAGCAGCTCTCTAACTTTAGGAAAGGATTCTCAGGACTTCCCTGAGGTCCAGTAGTTAAAAATCTGCCTTGCAATGCAGAGGACATGGGTTCAATCCCTGGTCAGGAAATTAAGATCCCACACACCAAGGGGCAACTAAGGCCTCAAGCTGCAGCTAGAGAAGCCCATATTCCACAACCAGAGAAAAGTCCATGTGACGCAATGAAGACTCAGCACAGCTAGATTAAACAAATAAATAAAAATCAAAAGGATTCCACAGTCACACAAGTTTGGAGAACACTGGTTTAAACAAAACTAAGCAGGACTCTTCACTGTGGGAACTTCTCAGAGCTTTTACTACACTGACATGTGCTGCCTATCTCTAAGAAGGAGATATAAGAAGCTGTGTTTCTCAAACATATCTGGCTCCTGAACTTTTCTAACAAGGAGTGTCTCGAAAGCCTAGTGCCCTCCAGAAGGCACCTTAGAGAATGCTGATATGCGTTATCGGTCAATAGATTAAAACACATGCTGGGCGCTCACCACACAACAGGCACTAAGGCCAGCAATTCTCATCCACTTTCCACCTTAACCTGCCTAACTGACACCTTTTGCAGGTAGGTAACACCCCACAGATGTGCCCAGATTGGGGGCCACCTCCCCATGGCTGGGGAAGCTAGAAAGAAAAGTTCCAGTC